CCCTAAGGCTAAATCTATGCCTTTTGTCCTACTGGCCTTTGCATCAAGGGTAAGGCACTCTTTCTTTTTTATCACCCCCCTCCCAAAAAAAATAAAAAAAAAACTTTTGCTCTCATGTGAAATTCAAGTTTTAGATTAAGAAATTCTTTAATTTTCCCCACAACAGAAATTCTTTAATTGAAGCAAAGAATGTTTGCATCATACACAGCTTGATCCCTACCAATTGAGCTAACACCCACAACTGGCATATGACAAATTGAGTGGTTTGGGATGTAGAAAATGAAAAAAGATGGGTGACGTTGATGTTGGAAGTTAGCTCCTCCATTAGGCAACCTTTCCCCCTGTTCTATCCAGGAGCTCTCACCTCTAATGTAACCCCAAAATGAAAATGGACAAAGTCTTAGATATAAAAATTTCACTCTAGTGAGAAATCTGGATCGTAGAAAAAGTTTAATGTCATGATGATGGTCCCATCACAATTATCAGCATCTGCTTGTAGGTTGTTAGAGACCTAACAAGCACGGAAAAATTTGTGTGTCGGACACATGTCCGACACGGACACGCTCCGACGCGCGGACAACATTTGGGGACACGCGGTCAACTCTCCAACACGTTTTTCCGACACAAAATCAATTTTTTCCGACACACGGTCAACGCTCGGACACGTTCGAACACGTTTTTTTTAATCTTAATTTTATTTTGTTAACTAAATATAAAAGAAATAATTTATAAATTAATTTTTTTCTATTACGAAATTTGACACGAAAAATTATTTATATTTATATTTATGTTATGAAATTTAAATATTTTGTTGGTTATATGACTTATTATGGAATCTTATATGTATTAAATATAAATTATATTATATATATTAAAATATTTATTTAATATCAAAATGTGTCCCAACGTGTCGAAATATGACATTTTTTAGAATTAACGTGTCGGCGTGTCGTGTCGTGTCGTGTCATGTCGTGTCGTGTCGTGTCCCGTGTCCTGTGTCCCGTGTCCCATGTCTGTGTCCGTGCATCATAGTTAGAGACATTTCGAAACAAGATTTTTGAAACCCAAAACCATACAAACAGCAACAAAAGCAAAAACAAATATACCAATGAATAAGCAAAGCAAATAAATAAGTAAATTCATAAATAAATTAAGATAACATGATATATTAGGGAATTGACAAACATGATAGATTAGGGCACTGACGAACTGTAATAGAATGGGATCAAAAAAATTTTACCTACCGGTGGTGGAGCACGGGCGCACCAGAAAATGGTGGAGGGAGCGGTGAACGCCTAACAAGGAAGAGGGGAAGGGCTATCGGCGATGACAGAGAACAACCACGAACGCGAAGGAGAAGAACTATGAGGGAAAATGATTCTGGGGAAGAGCAACCACCGACAAAGGAGAAGAAACTCTCAAGACGGAAAGAACACAGTTAGCAAAGGAGAAGAAGGTCTGTGTTCAACGAGTTTGGGAATCCGATAGTTGTTGTTCTATTGTTGAAGACGTTGAATCTTAGAAAACAAAGTATTTTTTTTTTAAATTTTAGACCAAACGGACGTAGTTTTACTTAGCCGGAGATAAGCTTATCTACCACAACTGTAGAAATGTTTTCCCCTATATATATATATAAGGGGTGTAAAAAAAAGGAAGAAGAAAAAGAAGAAGTTGGGGAAGGGGAAAAGCGACAAAGGAAAAGAATGGGAAAATAAGAAGGAGGGAGATGAAGAGGAAAAAACTGAAAAGGGACCATCTGAAACATAGGAATAACAACGGGTGTAACCCTCCACAATGCTAATAGCTTTTGTTCATTCCATCCTAAGGCATACTGTCCACCAATCTATATCTCACTCTATTAAGTCTTTTTTATTACCTTCCCCCAAGTAAGTTTCAGTCTACCTCTACCTTTCTTTGTGTCAAGCTCTTGATAACAAACTTTTGTTCTTACGAGAGCATTAGGGGCCCTTCTCATTACGTGCCCAAACCACCTCAATCTATATTTTCTCATCTTTTCAGCCACCGGTAGTACTCCTACCTTATGTCGAATATCTTCATTTCTTATTTTATCCTTCCTCGTATAATCACACACATCCACCTTAGTATCCTCATCTCTGCTACTCCCATTTTATGTCTTGTTGCCTATGTGCTGGCCAACATTTAACTCCATATAACATTGCAAGCCTTACTGCTGTTCTATAGAATTTTCCTTTTAGCTTAAGGGAAATTTTGCGGTCATACAAAAATCTAGAAGCACTAGGCCATTTCATCCACCCTGCTTTGATTCTATGACTTACATCATCATCAATCTCTCCGTCTTTTTTGCAGAATGGATCCCAGGTATCTAAAAGCCTCTTTCTTATGTACCTCTTGACTAAGTAGGTGCACGGGATCTTGGTCTACATATCTTACCAGAGAAAACTCACACTTCATATACTCAGTCTTGCTCCGGCTTAACGTGAATCTTTTAGACTCCAACGTGCTTCTCCACAATTCAATTTTTCTATTAACATCGTCTTTGGTTTAATCAATAGGCACAATATCATCCGTTAAAAGCATACATCATGGCACTTCCTCTTGGATATCTTTTGTTAGTTTATCCATAACTAAGGAAAGAGATAAGGACTTAGAGCCAAACTTTGGTGTACACCTACCTTGATAGAAAAATAACTTGATGTTCCATTACAAGTTTTCATACATGTAGTAGCCCCATCATACATATCCATGATTTCCTTTGCATGCTTTGATGGTACTTTTTTCTTCTCAAGAACTCACCATAAAACTTTTCTTGGGACCCTGTCGTATGCTTTCTCAAGATCTATGAACACCATATGTAAGTCTTTCTTTTCTCGATATCTTTCCATTAATTGTCGCATCAAGAAAATGACTTCCATGGTACATCTTCCTAGCATAACAAGAAAACTGAATTGTTATCATAAATTTTATTATTGAGTGACTAAATTACTGAGAATTTTTTTAAGAATTAAATTATAATATTCTTAATCTTTCAAAAATTAAATTGATGATACTTATTTATAAAAGATTAAATTAGTGTTAGCCAAATGTTTTGAAAATCATAACAATAGTTTGTTTTTTAGAATAAGCAACGGCTTTAATTTTGAAAAGGTTAAACTAGCATCAAACCTTAAATAGATAAAGTATTGATGTTACATTCTGCTTTGATTTTTATTTTTATTATTTTGTTGAAATGTAGATTTGATTTTTACAAGAAACAAAGGAAACCCTGAGCCAAGCCGAATGGTGGCAGCCAGAGAGAATACCAGCCAAGGATAGGCAAATACAAATTTAACAATTAAGAGGCTAAACTAACATGTGATACACCTTCGTAGAGAGACACCATAAGCAAGGGAGCTTCAACCTTGAGTGCTAGTAGTATTTTATTGAATAATATATTGTAAATTTATACACATAACGTCTCATATTTATATAATTTTTATTTAATTATAACTACTTTTTGTAATATAAACATTATGATCGATTTTTCTTTTACACGTACATATAATAACATCACATTTTGATCGATTAATCTTTTAATTTAGGATTCGCTTTTTCTATAATCAATATAGAGAATTTATCCGAACCCAAAACGATGTTGTTTTGAAGCGGAAATCAACGTATTTTTATAATTATAATTTATTTCAAGGTGATAATAGTCTTTTCATTATTATTTTTTAATTTTTCAATACAAAACAATATCATTTTGGGAGTGAATGTAGAAAACTTATCTATATTCACTGTAAAAATTTTAAAGCCTTTATTTAATGGAGAAAAGTGTTTGTCATCTTAAATGATATAAAGTTATGTCATTGTAAGAGAGATAGACACAAAATATTTTTTTTATTTAAAATTTAAATTAAAAAAAATCACTCATTTTCTCCCTCATAATTTTCCTTTCTTGGTCTATCTCTCTCTTAAAATAAGATAACTTACATCGTTTAAAATGATAAACATCAAACCCTATTTAATTATAAATACTTATATTTTTTAATTCTTTCTCTTTGTCTTTATTGTTTTTTAAATATAAAAGCTTGAGTAATGTATGAAATTTGGTGCGTAAATAGCTCAACCCATTACTATAATCCCACAAGGTCCCACTTGCCACTTTTCGCTTACTAATAAACCCAAACCACTAGCTTTTTGACCCTTATTATAGGCAAAGGGTGTGGCGTGAAACTCACCCCTCAATCGCCAACCTAAAAACTAACACCATCCAACGCTCACTTATTCTTACACGTTCGCCTCCACTTTCTCATCCATCCTATATTTCACGCCTCATCTTCTACTTACGTCCTCAACTCCTCATTTCCTACATCACACCGCTATTTTTTTTTTTGTGAAAACGACCTCATTTCCTACATCTTCTACTTATTTCCTACATCCAACCTAAACACACAGCATACTGCATTTTATTTTATTTTTTGTGAAAACGACAAGTTTGGTTTGTGAGAGAATTTTTCTTTTAATTTAATGTTTTTAATTATTATTTAACTTTAAAAACCATAATAAAAATAAAAAAGACCTTATGCTTATGCACCTAAGTCTTTTTTCTCTCTTGAATATATGTATAAAAGTTCATAAAAGTTAATCGAGATGCTTATTGTGTTTCCATGAAAGGTAAACAATCAATAAAGGGAGCTTCTTTTCTTTTCTTTTTTATTGAGAAACAAGATGCAATTTTATTTTTAACTTATAAAGTTGGTGCCGCAGGTAATATTTTATTGATTCACCTTTTATGTAATAATTATTAAATTTTATACCAGGTTTTGGATTTTCTCAATAAATAATTGAATGTTGAGGGCTGGACTTTATGATCAAAGAGAAAGTACCCAATTTTACTATGACCGCTAATGCCTCAAGATTTAAAAGACAGCGTGCTTCTTTCTTTTCCAGAGTTCAGTTTACACTATCATATACGTAAATAAAAGAGAAAGAAGCCATGAGTTTGTATGACCCTACCACCTATACAAAACGTGCTCCATTGTAGATCTAAAGGACTAGACAAGACGTGAGCTTCAACATAAATTATCTCGTGAATAGCATTTTGAGGTCTTGAATCCTAGCAGACCGAACCTCATCATCAGTGAGGGCACCAGATATTAGCCTCTGTTTCTTGGCTTGCACTTGTTGCAATCGATCTTCCACTGTGCCCTGTTCACAATACCCACAAATCTTACCATTACTTAATAAAAATGAAAAAAACAAACAAACAAAACAATGCGAATTAAAACCAGATGGTGAAAAGTTTTTCAAGACAATATGACCCAACAAAAGGATAACGTGAGATGAGATTGCTTAAGAAAAACGTGATTAATGTGACGAAAACGTCGGAAAAATGTCTTTGGTACCCAATAAACTGGAGATAGACATCATAACCATAAAATAGTGATTAATGCATAATATTTGACTTCTCAAAGAACTTTAGTTGTTGAGCTATGTAAAGGTAAAGGGCCACCACCCATGTCGTTTGATAGGAAAACAATAAAACAAAAAAAGGGAAATACTGTTTATTTAACAGCAAATTAAGTGCCAAAAATGGGTCGTTTGAATATTCTATGTCCAATCCGGAACATTTGACTAGTAGGAGGCCGACAATATGGGCATCTCGGTTTCGAGCAGGTGAAGATGAATAGGATTGCATTTGCTAACAGTTTTAAGCAAGTCGAGAAAATGGATTCAGCTAACCTTCACGATGAATCTCTTAACAATAACTCTTCGCTTCTGTCCTATACGATGAATTCTCATTATTGCTTGCTCCTCAACTGCAGGATTCCACCATGGATCCTACATTTTCATTGAAAAAAGAGTTTAACACACTTAGAAGATTGACGTTCCACAGGTTGAGTAAAGGGGGAGAAGGGAAACAAGCATAGTGCATACCATAATGAAAACATGTGAGGCTGCAGTTAAGTTCAAGCCCACACCTCCAGCTCTCAGTGACATCAACATAACCTGAAACGGTACGATGGATAAAAAGATCAGTGTATCAGTGGTGATATTTTTCATGGGTAATGATAAATAGTTCAAATTGACTTCAGTTACCCTTTTTTCTTTTGTCTCATTAAATTCATTCAGAACTTTCTCCCTCTGTTTCTGAGACAATTTCCCATCAAATCTTAAAAAACCAATTCCTCTTCTCCGCAATGGATTCTCCACTAGATCAAAAAATGAAGTCCACTGACTGAAGACAATACTCTTTTCCCCAGAGGATGAATTCTGAATGTGTTGTAAGTAATCCATCAGCTTTGAAACCTTTGAAGACTCTGTCAAGTTGTTCTCAACATCAACCTTGAAAGGGCTTTCGGATGGACAAGCAATCAGATCACTTTTCTTAAGTGATTGACGACAGATTGGACATTTACCACCCAATGAGGTCCCCCAGCAACTGAATAGGCATTCTCTACAAAACCTATGTGCGCATGATGTAAACACAGGATCATCTGGTGATTCCATACATATAGAGCATTCTACTGTTTCACCCTTCTGAATATCCTCCAAAACCTCCTCAATGTATGCACGGGATTGGATAGAGTGCGAAGCAGATTCAGAATTTAGAAGGCATTTACTTGCTAGTTTGTTCAACTCTGCATATTGCTGTGGATCACTTTGGCTGCATATATCAGATGATTTAGTATTAGACTGGAGGAATCTTCTTGCGAGTCTGCTTAAGTCTGAATATTTCTGGGAAGCACTTCCGCTGCATACGAGGCAAATCCTTATTAGTGGTAGAAGAATTGAGAATGTGAAACATTATGAGCATTTTAATGTATTTGCCACACCCACCACATAACCAAAAATGGATGGTTACAACACCGTCTCAGCTGCATTAGTAAGTCAAGGATATTTGCATAGTGGTGAAGAACGTTTCCTTGTGCAACATACTGATCAAATTGAACCTGTTTGTATTGCATAAAAAGTTCAAGAATCATTAGACATTTAACATGCCAATCATAAATATTTACCTTTAGAATCCAAACTGCCAAGTGGAGAGTAAATTTCAAGAAAGATCTATGTCTGAGGACAATAGCCATTTCCAAATTTACTGACTTTATTAAAAATGAATAAAGTGAAAGATATTGTTTTTCGAAACTAATTACAGATCAGAAGTCATGGCACAAAACTTACTTTAGATCTCGTGAAGAGGGCATCATAGAAGTCCCGTTCTGATTCTGACTGTTCACACTCAATCAGTTGAATATCAGCAGGTGGCAGAACAAGTATGGGCCTGAAAAACATATACACATCGATATCATGATCAAAAAATAAATATTTATATTGCAAAAGAAACAATTCAAGTGAAGTGAGAATGACTACCTTCCTTCTTTGTCCTTTGTTTCCTTTGTTCTTCTTAACATCAGTGTCCTCAATATGGCCTTCACCAATTTTAGGGCTCTTGGATCACCATTCTCATAAGGCCTTTGAATCAACTTACTCCACCTACACAGATGCAAATTACAAAAGATTTATGTTAATACTGGTTCTTCAAACAAGATTTCTTCTCAAACAATGATCAAATTTATGTTAACTACAATTAAGCATCATATTCTTGCCATACCATTGCCAGTTACACCAAGGTTCAACACGCAAGAAACACAAGAGACTGAATAGGTCTTCCAAGCTATTCTGCATTAGAGAACATCGCATTTCATAGACAAGGTGCCCGAAGGTGAGTTCTCTAATTAGTACTGAACTACTGATAAAAGAAAAAGATTTTCAGATGAGGGGGAAAGATGGCAATTTCTTTTGCGCATGGAGTACTCCTATTTCTCTTTGCAATTATAATGTATTTACACACAAAATGTTCATCTGATAATTAGAAAGACAAACCTGAAGCGGGGTTCCAGTTAGACACCAGCGGCAGTGTGAGGATAAAGTAAAAGCAGCCTGGGCAACCTGGCTTCTATAGGCTTTTATAAAATGAGCTTCGTCTAGCACCACCCTGTACCATTGGACCCTGTGGTAGATGCTATTCTCTCCGTCCTGGTTTCAAAAGTCAGGGAACCCTACATGAAGAAGCTTCACCATGCAAATGGAGGAAAAGCAAAATATAAAGGAATATTTCCTTACACTTTTGTATGCAGCTGATAGGACACCATATGTTGTTAAGACAACATCATGCTCTGAGATCAACTCGGGATTATTGGTTCTACCCCCACCATAATGAACAAATATGGATATAGTACCTGGTTTTGAATGGGTTTCAAGCTCATCCTGGAGATTTTAAATACTTGTGAGCTACCTTGTCAATTATAGAATGCCATTTGAGATATAAGAAAGAATAATCATTGTTGTTTTTAATACAAAGGAAACTCACCTTCCACTGACTTAACAACGCCATGGGACAAACAATTAAGGTGCCACCGTCTACTTTATATGATGTGTCAACATTCTTCCTCTTGTTTGTGATAATATTATCTTTTGCACTCTCTACATCCCTGTTTTCTGAGTTCCCCCTGCCTGGGTTACTGAGAATCAGAGAGATTGTCATAACAGTCTTTCCAAGTCCCATTGCATCCGCTAGAATCTATAATTTTTAAAATGAATAAATAAACCAATTTTATAATCAGATAAACTGCTCAAACTGAATGTATTATTTAGTATTTTAAAAACAGATGGCCTCAAACAAACTCACTCCTCCTCTTGCCATCTGTGTTGCTTTTGGAAAATTCTTTGTTGCTTCTCCCGTGAAAATGTTCGCATAAATTGTCCTTCTGTTAGAAAGCATGTCAGGTTAAATTGCATACTGATATTGGGGGAAAATCTTCATTTTTGTTTGTAGAATCATTTACTATTAGTACTTACCCCTTGCATATCTTGTAGGCTGACCAGCAAGGATGCAAATTTCTCTCAGTACTCTCTGCATCAATTCCATTCTCAATTTCCGACATCCAATAGAGAGCTTGGTTCTGGTAAGGTTTTAGTTTACACATCAGTGTGCTTGGAGCTTCCTTCTCCTAAAGATATGAGGCACAAAAAAGTTGATGACAAGTGACACTAGAGAGAAGTTTGAAGATAAACAATTGAAACCGAAACACTTGAGAAGTTCTTTACCTCCAGGTCATAGATTTCTGCAGCTCCAACAAGCTTATTCAAAGCTGACTCGGAAAGAGCTTGTTCATCCTCATTTTGCTCCGGAAGCTGTTTGCTTCCCAGCTGTTCGCCACCCTTTCTTCGCTTGATCATAGGCAATGCTGCAGCTTCAACTGAATCAACCTAGCAGCATCAAAAGCAGAATTAGGCCTCTTGCACATAGAGGTTGCTTACAGAAACAGGCAACATTCATAATAATAACATGCAATGCACTCTCTTAAACAATGACAATATGACATCATGAAAGCTATAATCCATTAAAAGGGAAAAGAAGGAAAATAGTAGCACATACATTTGGATTAAGCAACCGCTTTCGAGAATCTATATCCTCAGGGGTGAATTCAGCCTAATTGAATATAACAACAACCCATTACAAAATGTAACATTAAGAAGCGGACAGAAAAGGATTTAAAAAAAAATATATGGAGAGAGGCCAATTACCTTCTGATATGGCTCAATCTCTAGCATTCTCAACAGTGTAAGGAGTGGACAAATGGTAGCGTTAATGTTACCACAACCCTCTAGCCTCCAAGAAGTATCAACACTCTCCGAGAATATAGAGTGGTGAATGTAAAAGCTGCCACCCCAAAAATAAAAGATGTCATCAATTAGATTCATCTACCAATAAACTCGCCACCAACACAAACACAATTTCAAAATAAAATAGCCAAATGAACACAAGGAAACAAATGAAAAGGAAAGCTTTCATCATCAACATCATCATCCGAATCAACAGAAAGAGCCGGAAGGTTTATACCTCACAAACAACATGATTTCTTGCATCATTTGCAGGCTATCCGGTGCTGCAATGCATCTGCCTCGAACCTTGACCTTTCCAGATTTCACAAGCGGAGTGACAGTTTTTGCCCATTCCATTTGCATCCTCCCAACCTGAAGTGACAGTTCAATTCAATCACACACAATAACAGCAAAGCACCAATTCCTAAATAATCTCACAATGCAACCTTAAGTCATGAACAAATTTTCATCAAAATCAAAGTAGTACTTCTTCCAAGTTCCAACCTTCAATTCAATCACATTTTAAACAATTCCAATTAAACACACAGCAACACAAAACACCATCAACGATAATAGTACCTCTCCGGAACGCTTGGTTGAGATGCGAACAATCCATTGGGACTTGTACGATGAATTTGAGAGAGGGAAATTGAAATGAACAATCTCATTATCCACCAATCTTCTTACTCCTTTGGCTGTCGAGAGCGCAACCTCAACCTTCCTTTCCAACAACAACCACCCGGGTTCTTCAGGAAACTCGCCATCCTCAACGTTCAAGATCTTCTCCTTCTCTTCAAACAGCTTCTTCTTCACCACATTCTTCTCCAACAACTTGTGAGAATTATTCACCTTAAGCATCTCCACTTCATTTCTATTAACACCAACCTTATCAACATCAAAAACTTCTTGACTCGTTTGATTCAATGGTTCTTCTTTCTTCTTGCAAAATTCTTCAAACGAACAGGGTGGCTTCACTTCAGAAACCACTTCCGGTTCCGATCTCAAGGGTTGAGAACCTTCGAAGCCCGTTTCGCCGGTTCCTTCTTCTTCTTTAAACGAACCGGGTGGCTTCACTTCAGTAACCGGTTCTGGTTTCGATCTCAAGGGTTGAGAACCTTCGGAGCCCGTTTCGCCGGTTCCTTCTTCTTCTTTAAACGAACCGGGAGGCTTCACTTCAGAAACCGGTTCTGGTTTCGATCTCAAGGGTTGAGAACCTTCGAAGCCCGTTTTGCCGCTTCCTTCTTCTTCTTCTTCTTCCTGAGGCTCCTCCTTCACCTTGATCATCGGCATTTTGGATGCGTCGAACTCGTTCGGGTCCGGAGGCGCCGCCACAACACGGGCACCGCCGGTGCTGGTGAGGGAGCGGACCACCGTAAGGGGATGGGGACAGAGAATGGGATTGCCGTTGAGGAATACGACATTGTCGTTTTTCGATGACGAGAATGTTCCTCCTCCTCCTCCTCCTTCTTCTGCTATGGAACGTTCCGCCATATCAGAAAACAATATTTAACAAAATTAAATAAATTAAAAATAAGAAACAGAGATATTTGAGAGAGGGAAATGAAAAAAGAGACGAAGATGAGAGTTAACATTGGAAGAGAGAGGTCATATAGACAGTGAGAGTGGCGCGAAATCATGGCGCGCTGTTTTTATATATTTAACAGTGACTGGAATCAATATTTATTTTGTATTTAATAATAGGGTTTATCATTTATCATTTAACATGACCACAAAAATTTTCCTACACACACAACATTTTGTGGGGCCCGCAGCAAAAAAAAAAACTCTGGCACGCAAAACGAATCTCTATAGCATAACACAATCATTTCTCCTACAACATAACTCTTATAAAACCCTTAATAATAATATAGTTATTATTATGAAAGACCGTAATAAAAACGTTTTCTGGATCGTAATTTAACTTTTGTTTATTGTAGTTAATGAAAAAAAATTGGGATATTTGTTAAGAGGGAAAAAAAAATTCCCAGAAAATTGAGATGAGAAAAATTATTTTTCTACAATTGGTAAGAGGAGGAGAAAAAAAAAAGACAGAAAATTTGTTTCTCGTCATTTGCATTTACGCAGCGGAGTGTTGTTGAAAATTATCACCGATGGGATGGTAATTTTTTTTCCCCGAGCGATGAGAAATGAGTTGCACTTTTTCGAGACGAAAATATCCTCATGGCAAATTTCAAATTACCAACCTTATACCCTTCTCTAATTACCCTATGCCTATTAACAATGTTGGCACCGTCTTGTTGTCATTTCTGAACCTCTTCATCGATCAACGACGAGGTTGTTGGGTCATCTGAATCATCGAGAACTTGAATTAACAACTTGGATTGTGGCCAATCCAAATTACAAACAGCACCAAATGATTGCTGATAAACCTAAATAAAAACAGATCAAAGTTACGCGGTGGGATTCTCCTTCTCCCATCAACCGACAGCAATGTCGTTGTCAATGTCCGTTCTTCCAGAATCTACATGGCGTTTCACGGCGGAGGCTAGCCCCAACAATGCAGGGGCAACGGAAGCCAAACAACCTGCGGCTCTGTGAGCTTTGAGGGGAAAAACCTAAGTTAGTTACTTTGCGTTTTTGCCTTTTCCTTTGTCTCTGGGAAGACCCCCGGGTAATTTTGTGATTTTGATTTAGATTTTCATCAATATTTTACAATCAATCAAGCATAGCATCAGTAAAACTAACTCAATATTTTTGGAAAAATTTTGACCTACCAAACACCTTTTAGTAACTTACCTGGAAAAAAAAAATTCTCACCATATTTCCGAAAATCTTTTTTTCTGGTAAAAAAATTTTCTCCTCTACCAAACACACCCTTGTGAGGTCAAAAAGCCAAAAAAGTAGCATTGAGAGCAATTTTCCTATTAAAAAAATAATAATTCCCAAAAATAGTCACAAGGGGTTTAGTATAGATTTTTTACTCGGAAATCACGATTTTTAGGAATATAATGAGAAAATGAAATTTTTTAAAATGTTACCAAAAAGTTGTTTGGTAGACCAAAATATTTCTGAAAATGTTGGATCAATTTTTCTAGTCATATGTTTGGTTGATTGTAAAATATTAGTGGGAATATGAGATAATTTTAGGGGCGTGCAAAATAACCAAAAAGCTAAATCAAACCATGAACCAAACTGAACTGCACTTAAAATAATCGGTATTAAAAAACCAATTCATGGTTTTTAAAGAATCAGTTCATGAATCGAACCGATTTTAGAACCAGTTTAAGAACCGATCCGTTTTCGAACCGAACCGTTTTCAAACCGAACCAAATTGATTTTTATAGCTTTATTTTTAAATTTTTAAATTTTCTTTCTTTTCAAAATAGGGTCAACCCGAACCGATTCCGAATCGAACCGAACTTTTTCCAACCGAACCAATTTAGAACCGAACCGAACTATTTTCGAACTGGACCATTTAAATCAATTTGGTTCAGATTTTCAAAAAATTCAATTCGGTTCGACCCATGCACATCCCTAGATAATTTTATAAAAATAACTCCATCTTCATCGGTTTATCCAGACACCCAACCATCATTATCCCACATTCCAGCTACCATTTTCCTCTCGACCGGCGGTCCACCTCCCACCACCGCTGTCGAACCATAAGCAACTGACAAAAGTGGTGTTGACTGTATACGCAAGAGCAAAATACCCCTCCTCATTCTGAATTTCCTAGTTCATTTGTTCCTCTTGTTCATCGTTGGATTACACTCCCAAGTAACTTCTCAACCCACAAGCATCGAACAAACAATCCTACTCACCCACAAACACCAATGTTGCCATCATGTAAACCCTACTCCAAAATTTGATGACTGATGATCGGAGGTTGAAGAAGAAGGGACAGAGAGCAAAGAAAGAGAGAGGAAGGGCACTTTGGTCTGAAAATATTTGGGAGATTTTTCCATCACGTGGGAATCTAAACATACCACCCCTGTGTGGTATTTTTTGGTGTTATTTTGATTTATAGAATACACATAAAATGAAATCCCGAGAAAATCACTTTCCTGAGAATTTTTTTCAAAATGGACTACCAAACATAGACTTCTTAGAATCTCATCACCACTTTCCTAGGTTTCCAAAAATAATCTCCTCCCAAACACCCTTTCAAGGTAATCGTGAGGACTCAAATTGGGCTCATTTAAAATTTTGATTAAATAAAGAGTAAACACCATTTTTAGTCCCTGACAATATCTACGAAGTCCTTTTCAGTCCCTGGCAATAAAAAAGGACCAAATTGGTCCCTGAAAGTACAAGAAAAGGGCCACTCTACATATTTGGGAGTTGACATAAGGACTAACATGGCCCTTTTTTTGTAATTTCAGGGACCAATTTGGTCCTTTTTTATTGCCAGGGACTAAAAAGGATTTCGTAGATATTGACAAGGATTAAAAAAGGTGTTTACTCTTAAATAAATTATCAAAACTTAACTCAATATTTGCAAAAAGATAATAAAGGGAATAGATATGGATGTTATTTATAACTAAATATAAAATATTTTAATTGAACTAGAGAACTTAATAATTTGTTATTAATTTAAAAATATAGAAATTTTAATATTTATTATTATATTAGGTTAAGTTAAGCAACTACATATATGGGTTATATTTTTCTCGTTTCACATGAGAGAAACCAAGTTCCTACACACACAAAACAGAGGTGGGTCCCACCTTTACTTTTTTTCTCTCCTCTTGCTTGTGGGTCCCGCTTGTGATATTATCTCTGCTACATGCGATAATTATTTTCATGTAACATGATAAAATGATTTACATATATATATATATATATATATATATATATATATATTGTTAATCACACACAAAATTACAAAAGAGAGAATAGAAGAAAGAATGGAGACAACGACTTAATAGTTCACTTAATGTAGATTATGCCCATTAATATTTCATTATATCTTCCTCATTGCACTTGTTACAAAAGCTTTGCTTGCTAAGATTCGAAATCTCCTCAATTACAATTGGTCAATTCGGTTTGCACACACTATCAGGGAAAACAACTCTTGTGCAAATTGGTTGGCAGATGCAGCGGTTCGTAGGAAACAGGGATCACATACCTTCCGCTTCATGTAGAAGAAATCATATCTTTCATTGTTGATGATCAAATTGGAGCTACAAACACCCACCCTCCCTGCTAGCAGTGTTTGTTGATTTTTTTTTTGCACTATTTGCTTTGTGCTTGTTTTTGTTTTTCTTTGCCTTGTTGGGGCTTTGCCCTTTTGATTACCAAAAAAAAGAATAGGCTTAGAAACTTTAAGCAATAATAGTTAATCTTGGATCTAAGCCCAAACTAATAAAAAAAGAAAATAATAAAATAAATCTGAGACCAACAATGGTAGTAGGTCTCTGTAGTCCTCCATTGGCTTTCTCTATATCCCGCTAACGAGTTGTTATCTGGATGAGAAGTATGAGTCATACTCAATATTTTAAAGCATATCAATTTCTAACATAGTTAATTAGGAGATTTTAAAAGGAAATAAAATATAATTAGTATATCAAACATGGGATGTTGTGGTAACTTAAGAAGAAAATTGAATCATGCCTAGTTATAAAAGTAGCACACAAAAGAAAAATATTGTAACTCCAAAAAAAAACTAACTTTTCCCCTTTTTCTATGTATTTTATATGAATAAAATGATCATGATCCTAAATAAATCATTCCAAAGATTGGTAGAGTAGAGAGATGCTTGCATGTTTTAACAGAAGCGACCACACCCTTTACATAAAAAGGTGTGAATCTTGAGACATAACAAATGGGCTACATCGGTAGCAATTGAGCTGATTTGTTGGACAAGATAAAAAAATGATTATGATTATGTATTTTCTTTTTAGTAATAATGTGTTTTCCTTGTATTCTCAATATGGTAGAAATATTGGCTTTTGGTAATTCCATTTTCTTTTGTTCTACAAGATGAAAATAATGATTAGGAAGATGAAGGCTCTAGGAAGACTAGCAAAAGACACTCTTTAGAAAAAATAAGTCAGCAGGAAAAGGGGAAGATGCAGTGTTTTAAAACTCGCCCCGATCATCGACTCGATCGAGATACTGTGTTACTGGGTCATTGGTTTAATTAGTGGATACTAGTTCAACCGGTTTAATTAAATTATATAATAAATATATTATAAGGTGCATTTTGACCAATAATTGAGGGTAACCTAGTGGCAAGTGATAATACTACTCACTCTCATAGGCGGCTGCCGGCTGGGTTCGATTCGCATCCACGATCAAAAGTGGAATATTTTGTCCTAAATTTATATTAAATTATATAATAATATATTATAAGGTGCATTTTGACCAATAATTAAGGATAACCTAGTGGTAAGTGGTAAAACTACTCACTTTCATAGGCTGGATTGATTCACAGCCACAAGTTAAAAGTTGAATATTTTGTCCAATTTCTAAAAAATCGGTTTAAGGGAGAAAACAACTTGCCCTAGAGTCATCGAAACCGATTTAGT